GCCACAGCCTCGTGCTGATACACAGATTAATAGAAATGGGTTAAATTAATATGTAAGAGTTAGCCAATAAGAAGTTAGAGCTAATAGGCCAAGCAGTGATTTAATTAGTACAATTTCTGTGTGATTATTTCAGGGCTAAGCTAGCCGGGCAGCCAAGACCAAAAAGCGGGTCCTCCTTCTACAGCTTCTGGTCACAGAAAAAGCAAAAGAAAGTAGCTAATGTAGTCTCTTTCGGGAATTCATAATGGTATGCATTTGAAAAGAAAAACTTAACAAGGACAGGAAGCAAACAAGAAATGGTTCACAGACACAGGTAAATTTAAAAAGTACACCAAGGAACAGTAGTTCTACAGGAAAAGGAGGAATATGGTCTTTGAAAGCAATTTATATGAAAACAAGATAAGCAGTAGCAAACATCTAAATCTATCATGTACCCAGCTCTGTTCTAATTATTTGACACATTTATTCCTCAAAAAATCCTATGACACCAATTAATTGTTTACCAGTTGTGGTTGTTTGAATATGAATGACCCCCTTAAAGGTTCATATATTTGAATACTTCAGGTATCCAGATGGTGGAACTGTTTGAGGATTAGAAGGTATAGCCTTGTTGGAGGAGATAGACTATTTTCAGTCTCAGCCTTTCTGCTGCCTCCCGATGGTCTCAAGGTATGAGCTCTCAGCTACTTGCTCTAGTGTCATACCTGCCTGAATGTTGTCATAGCCCCCACATGATGTCATGGGCTCTTAAATAACCCTCTAAATCATAAGCCTCAAAGTAAACACTGTCTTTCAAAAGTCACCTGGGTCATAGTGTTTTATCACAGAAAGAGGAAAGTAATCAAGACAGAGATGAGGAATCAGAGGCACAGAAAGAAAATACTGTGTCAAAGGCCAGGAGTAAGATAATTTCAACCCAAGTAGTCTAGCATTCAAATCTTTGTTCTTAACTACTGTGCAATACAATAAATCTATACCCGTCACTGTAAATCAATGTTATTGCACGCAAGAGTTTACAATTTCTAAAATGGAGATTATTTGTGTAGTTCATGGTTTAACTGTGGACCTGGGCTATAAAGTACTTACTACAAAACCCACAATATTTCCAAAACAATTATTTCTTTTTTAAAAAAAGAAAAAGTTTCTTGAAACAGGCTTTCTCTGTTTAAGAGCCCTAGCTGTCCTGGAACTCATTTTGTAACCAGGCTGGCTTCAAACTCACAGAGATCCGCCTACCTCTGCCTCCCAAGAGCTGGGATTAAAGGTGTGAGCCACTACAGCTAGGTAAAACTTTAAAAGTTATGTTTATAAAATTTAACACTTAAATTGTTAAGATACACAAAGTTTATTTTAAGCCACGATGAAATGACATTAGATTAATATAGCTCAAATTTTGAAAAATTCTAAGAACTGGAAAGACCAAGTTCAGATTTTTAGATGCTACCAGTGGGGTAATAAACATAACAGAATAGATTTTTCTCTTCAGATTGAATTTGAACCTAACAAGAACTATTATTACTGTATTTTACCAGCTAAATGAAACTCAAAGTCATAACAAGAAAACCTAAAAATCTCACTTAACATAACTCACTGCAGATATTTTCAAAAGTTGATATCATACCTTTCAAAACATGCTATTCCATTTTGAATTTCCTAGAAATATCTGGAATCTATTTTTAAAAGATATTAAATTATCTCATGGTATTTTAATATTTCTGCCTCACTTCACTGTACATGTCCTGCTCCTTACATTTCAGATGCCACCACTTTTTAAATATTTAGTGTGTGCGTGCATGTGTGCACACCCGCAGAGAAACAGAAGAGAGAGACTGAGTGCATGTCTGTGCACCAAGTATGTGCACGAGTATAAAGAGGTTTAAAAAAAAAAAAAGAATACTGGATCCCCTAGAACTGTAGTTACAGACTGTTGTAAGTGGGTGCTGACAACCAAATCTGGATCCTCTACCAAAAAAAAAAAAAGTGCCCATAACCACTGAGTCATGTCTCGGGCACCTGCACAAAGCTATTATCCCTTCAAAGCAGGCATATTTTTAGCAAATGAGGTAGTGTGAAATATTAGACATAATCTCGCTTATACAATTAAAATATATCACATAACATTCTTTACGTGGAAAAAAACATTTTGGTTAACAAATATTTCATATAACAGTTACCATACAATAGTTCTCATGATTATTATTTTTAAGATTTATTTATTATGTATACGATGCATGTATCCCTGCAGGCTAGAAGAGGACACCAGATTTCATTACAGGTAGTTGAAAGACACTATGTAGTTGCTGGGAATTGAACTCAGGACCTCTGGAAGAATAGTCAGTGTTCTTAACCTCTGTGCCATCTCTCCAGCCAGACCCACCCTGAACATGCCCAATCTTGCCATATCATTATTTTTAATTGACACTTGTTTTAAATAAACTAAGTACCTATATTGATGTACCTTAAATCACATTTAAAGACTGACGTTTTGATATTTAAAATGTAATACATTTTTGTTCTTAAAAAGCATATACTTATAAAAGAACAAAAATTTGAAAAAATAACATGGAAAAAAGCATTCAGTTAATTTTACTACAACTAATTATAATGGATAATTTCAGGAAAAATAGTTAACATGTTTGCAGCTTAAAGAGATGGGCATTCTCTTTATCCTCAGGTGGCTTTTAAGTACCAGACTATGATCTATAAAGACACAACTCAAGATTTTTCAAAATTAGATGAAACAACGAAAATCAGATATAATAGCCAATAATCACTAACAAAATATTGTAAACACAGTATTAGAAGAAAAGAAATTATTAGTAATGAAGCAGTTTAATAAACTTTACTTTCTTGTTAAAATCTTACTTCCCAGTATTCTGAAGAGAGGGCTCGGCAGTTAACAAGACTTGCTACTCTTAGCTCCTGCTTCTTATGCAGCGACCCAGGTTCAGTTCCCAACATCCAAATGGCAGCTCACAACTACCTGTGACTGCAGTTACAGGGGATTTGATAGCCCCTTCTGACTTCCTCAGTCACCAAGGACACATGTGGCACACACATAGAGATTTAAACACTCACACACAAGTACATCTTGAAAAAAAAAATCTTATGCTGGGAGATGGTGGTGCATGTCTTTAATCACAGCACTATGGAGGCACAGACATGCAGATCTCTGTGAGTTGGAAGCCAGTTTGGTCTACAGAGCTAGTTTCAGGACAGCCAGAGCTATGGTTACACAGAGAAACCATGTCTTGAAAAGTCAAAACAAACAAAACAAAAAACAAACAAACAAACAAATATGGTGGTTCACACTTAAAATCGCAGCACTAAGGAGTCTGAAAGAGGCTCTCTAGGTTCAGGACAGCCTTGCTAGAGAAAGGACTCTGTCTCAAAAAAGCAAAGCAAAATAAAGTTTCCAAACAATCATAAACATCTCTGTTTTTTGAAAAATGGTCCCACCAGAATAATCTCCATCATGTACTGATTCTGAAGTGGGATGGTCTTTCATAAGTATATATTCTTGCTTACTGCAGCAAGCCTCCACAGCTAGACAGAATGTTAATACATCAGCAAAATAAACTGGACTCAGTATTAATCAAACATTTAGACAAAATTTTCATAAACAGCCTCCCAATCATGTATGTGTGTGTTTGTATACAAAATGTGTTCCTATAGTCTAAAATTACTTCTATGTGGCTTGCTAGATTGTTTGCCAGGAAAAGGTTCTTGCCACCAGCATTTGATAATCTGCGGATCCACATGTTTGAAGAACTAACTTCTACAAGTTGTCCTCTGAAAACTGTACACATACACACAGACACATATATAGACATAGATAGATGATAGATAGATAGATAGATAGATAGATAGATAGATAGATAGATAGATAAGCAAGCAAGCAAAATTATCTATCCATGGATTAGTAACAGATAAAAAAGACCTGAATATAAACTCAGGAGCCAGAGAAAATTATTCTTTAACAAATTTTTGCTATTAAGCACAATAGCAAATTAAGTCACAAAAAGCATAAAATATTAAAACACTTTAATTTTAAAAACTAGCATTAATATGCATTATTAATCAAGTACCTTTCTTTACTTAAGATTCACTACATTACACAACACCCCTTTTTGAATATTTATATTCTCTTAAAAGATATTTATATTCTATTAAAAGACTAATATTTAGTCTTCGAGTATGGACTTTTGCAATCAATCATATGCCCTTGTCTCCATTATCTACTTTACCTTCGGCAGACAAAACAAACGTCAATGGCATGCCCTGAAATCTTTAACCCTTTGCTATCATTATCCTATTTACTTACTCTTTATTATTTTCCTCAATTAAACTTTTCTTATTTTATTCTATTTGCTTTGATAAGAAGTTTTTTAATTTTGTAAAAAAAAAGGTTTTGAAAATACAAAAATATTCACACTAAAACATCCTTTACAATAGAGTCAACAGTAAAAATAGGCAGTAAATTAAAAAATGAATATTATGAAAACTCTAGGTCAATAATGGAAACTTCCCCTAATAAAGTATAAACAAATGCCCTTTCAAAAAAAACCCCCACTGATTCAGTACCTGTGGTTTTAAAAATTAATGATCTCATATGCAGAATTTGATTGCTGAGATTATTTATTTTATATTGAAAACTTTAAAATTTGAAAAAAGCTTTGTCAACAGTCTTAGGTATATATAAAAAGTAACTAATGTGTGAAAATGAGATACATATGTAAAATGTTGACTATTTTACTTTCTTTTTTCAAGTAAACTAGCTTATAAACAGTGAGGTCTTATATGAAATATGATTCCATGCAAATCAGACGGGGTAAGGTGAAACTTTATGAAGGTAGTCAGGAATGGTAATATAGGTTAATAATCCCAAGACTTGGGAAATAATAAGATCTTGAGTTCAAAACTAGCTGGGGCTGTACAAGGAAAGAACAGATTTCAAAAACTAAACAAAGTCCTTATTCAGGCCCGGAGTGCACACTTACCCCTCTCCTCCCATTCTTGTTATCTTAAGCCGAAAATCTACCGAGTTCAGACTAGGAGGTTTCCATTTCAAAATATCATCGCATCTTCCAGGTTTGTATTTCTAAAGTAAAAATAATAATCAGGAAAAAGTTAAAATTTAGGGTTCAATTCATCAAGCACACATAATTTTTATTAAGCAACATTGCTATTTTTATTTACATTTTTTGTTAATGATTTATTTATTAATTATGTATACAGCATCTAACTTCATGTATCCCTGCAGGCCAGAAGAGGGCACCAGATCTTATTACAAATGGTTGTGAGCCATCATGTGGTTGCTGGGAATTGAACTCAGGACCTACGAAGAATAATCAGTGCTCTTAACCTTTGAGCCATCTCTCAGCCCGTATTTACATTTTTTAAATTATATTTATTTATTTGCTTGTTTATGTGTATGCAGGTGGGTGTGTACATACAAAGGCTCATGCATGATGGTCAGGCAAAAATTTGTTAGATGCTAGGGCTCAAGAAATTCCTTTTCACAAGGTCTAGCATTTAGATAAAAGTCAGCATTCCCTCAGAGATTTAAAAAGATAGTTTTTATTGCTAAAAGGTCTGAGGTGCCTGTTAAACATATCAAAGCAGACACTCCCAGCATCACCAATACCTGTTAGAGTCATCGTGACTAGCAAACCCCACCCTCTAACCTCAACCTCTCGGCCTGAGTGGTGTGGGACAATGGTCTGTATTGTCAATTATATTTTAAATAAATGCTGATTGGCCAGTATCCAGGCAGGAAGTATAGGCAGGACAACCAGGCAGGGCGACAAGAACAGGAGAATTCTGGGAAGAAGATTCTGCTTTCTGAAGTCATGACTCAGCCACAGAACAAGCAAGATGTGACTGCCGTGCTGAAAAAGGTACCGAGCCCTCCATGTGAACTTATCTTTCTTTTTAAAGACACTTACCTGTCTCCTTCTATCAGAACCCTCCGTTTCCCATAAGAGCTGCCTTCTCCATCTCTTCAGTTGCTTTCTCCTCTCCTCCTCTACTGAGTAAGTGTCACCCTGGAGCTGCCTGTTTTGTCTACTAATACTACAAAAGTCACACTGCTGTGGCAGAAAGCTCCTCTCACTATACTAATCCCCCTACACCTGGAAAGGGACGCCTCTCCTCTATGATTTGGAGAGATCGGGGTAGGCGATGGGATATGCGAGCCAGGATGACTCTATAACAGTTTTGGTGATATTGAGATATCTTGTGGCCAGTGTGTTCAATTTGATGTGCTAAACAGCACCTTAGGCATAGGTTAATGGAGCAGCCATATGCCCCTTTTGTCAAAGATAAGGACCTTGGACTTCCCACAGGGCAGGGAACCCTGACTGCTCTTAAGACTAGAGAGGAAGGGGGAGGGGGAGAGGGGGAGGGAAAAGGGAGGTGGGAAGGAGGTGGAAATTTTTAATAAATAAATTTTTTTTTTAAAAAAAAGATAAGGAAGATGATTCATTTTAACAACTTATCTGCTTAAGTTCCTGAGGGAATGAATGTTCGCTTTTGTCTAAACACCAGAGACTTTGGAAAGACAAATTTGTGAAACCTAACATTCCAAGCTTTTTGTTGATGATAAAGGGGTGACAGAATCATACAGGACAATATTATAACTTCAGCTGCTGAACAGGATTGCCTTGGCCTTAGGCTGCAAGATTCAGGAAGTCTGTGAGATTTTCCCATGGAAGAGGAACCTGGGAAAGCTGACCTGCTCTGGCAGAGCAGGGGAGTCAACCCAACAGTGTCCACTGTATAGGCAATTTACTCCTAATTGTTTTGGCTATACACCTTATTTTTTTGACAGGGTTTCTCACTGCTTCTGAGTTTGTTGAATTGACTAGATATCAAATTCAAGGAATCTCCCCCCTTATTTTTACCTTCCTCGTACTAGGACTACAAGCATTTGTCACTACAAGTTATTGGTTTGTGGGTTCTGAAGAAACTGAACTCTTGTCTTCAAGTATTTACAGCGAGTATTTTACTGAATCACCTCTCCATCCTAATGTTGTTGTTCTTGTTTAGAGAGCTATCATAAAAGTCAGTATGGCCTCAAAATTCACCATGTAGTTGTAATGACCTTGAACTCCTGAACCTGCACCCACCTCCCAAAATTCAGATCATGAGTCACAATTTTCCTTCTCCGCCCTCTCTGCCCAACCTTCTTCCTTTTTTTTCCTTTTCTTTCCTTTCTTTTCTTTTTAGAGGCATCAGGGATAGAAGTGAGACAAGACTGGTGTGGAACTCATTATGCAGTAAAATTTGATCTTGAATTGACAATAATACTCTTGGTCCAACTTCCTGAGTGCTAGGATTACAGGATGCACCAACATACTCACTTTCATTGCATTATAATAACAATTTATCTTTCTTCCTTTCCTTTCATTTTTCCCTCTTTACTAATTTTTTAGAATACTGGAAATGTTTAAACATGGGGCCTCTTGGAAACTAATTCCAAAAATGACCTACCTCCCCTAACTCTGTTTATTTTTCATTTTGAGATAAGAATCCTACTAAATTGCCCAAACTGGTCTTGGCTTTTAGTGTCTTAGGTTCCAGAGCACCCAAAATTACAGGCCTTTAGCATCTGGACTGCCCTTAACAATTTATTTTACTGCAGGGCTGTAGAGATAGCTCAGTGGTTAGAAGCACTGCCTGCTGCTCTTCCAGAGGTCCTGAGTTCAATTCCAAGCAACCATATGCTCACAACCATCTGTAATGATATCCGGTGCCCTCTTCTGGCCTGCAGGCAGACAAGCAGGCAAAACACTGCATCCATAATAAATAAATCAAAAACAAAGTATTTTGCTGAGCAAACTTTTTTGTTTCAATTAAGTCAAAATTAGCCACTTTTAGGGTTGGAGAGACGGCTCAGTCACTAAAGGCTAGGCTTACAAGCAAATATACTTAAAAAGCCACTTAAAAATTATGTAATTTGTGGAGTTTATTCCCTGTTTAAGAAATATTTTCTTAATCTAAAATCACTATAATTTTCTACCACATATTCTTAAAGAAGTTTCAGTTTTAATTATTTTGGGTAGATGATGCATTTCTTGTTTTTTTGATCTATGGAGAGATGTAAAGGAAAACTAGGCTAACAAGGGAGAAGTAAAGGGTAAAGGCCCTTGCCTCTCCAGACCACACAGTATCCTCTGACTTCTGTACAGACGCACCACTCCTATCACACATTGTGTATATATAATAATCATAAACATCTTTGAAAAAAGGAAAACTAGATTCACTGCTTGACAGATAAGTATCCTATTAGTTCAGTAACGTGTGAGAGATTGCACTTTTGGTAAAGCACCTTTACCAAAAGAATAGCTGTCCTTGATGCATTTCTGCCCTCCTTCATCTGCTGCACTGCCGAACATGCCTTCTATCCTACCAACAATGGGAATCTAGTTCAGAAGCACTGCATCTCTACTTATTAGGTCTCCTTGAATGAATCTCAGCAAAGTTATAGTTTTCAGAGGGCAGTTTTTGTTAATTCCTGATACTCTAGTAAAATGTCTGACACAAAGAGATTCAGTTTTGCTTCTATATATCACCAATAAATATCTAGATTCCAGAGCTAAAAAAAAACACAATAAAAATACAGCTCAGAATACATGAAGGCCTGGCTTCCATTACCAACACTGCAACAGCCTACAACTAGAATAACTCAGAATCAATGTATTCTCAATCAACAGTCTTTTTTTGCAGCAATAGAAAAGCCCACCTTAAATATCATATGAAACTTGAGGTGACCCCAACAAACTAAAATAATATTGGTGTTAGAAGACATATTTTCAAAAAAAATTAAGTCTAGGTCTCGTATATCTTAAACTAGCCTCAATTTTACTATGTTATCAAGAATGGCGCCGAATTTCTAAACTTCTGATCCACTTGGTTCCACCTCCCAAGTACTGGGATCACAGGCATATCAACAAACCCATTTCATTTAGTACTGGGGATCTAACCCAGGGCTGCATGCATGCTAGGCAAAAGCTCTACCAACTAAGCTACCTGAAGCTAATTCATTTTAAAAATTTACTACAAGATTACAAATCAAACAGTATGTTATTTTACATAAAGATAAACATACAGGTAAATGGAACAGAATTAAGAGTATAAAAAATAAGTTCTGTGTGTATAATTAACTGACATTTCACAAGGGCATGAAGTTCATTCAATGGAGAAAGAATATACTCTTCAAGAAATAGTGCTGGGTAGCCAGCACCTGGAAACAACCTAGGTGCCCCTCAACAGAAGAATACATAAAGAAGGTGTGGCACATATACATACATATATACTGAGTTCTACTCAGCGGTAAAAAAACAATGACATCTTGAATTTTGCATGCAAATGGATGGAAATAGAAAACACTTTAATGAGTGAGATAACCCAGACCCAAAAAGATGAATATGGTATGTACTCACTCATAAGTGGATTCTAGCCATAAACAAAAAACATTGAGCCTATAATTCATGATCCTAGAGAAGATAAATAAGAAGGTGAACCCAAATAAAAACATATATTTATCCTCTTGGATATTGGAAATAGACAAGATCGCCGGGCAAAAGTTGGGAGCACAGGGGTGGGGGTGGGGTGGGGGAAGAGGAGATGGGGAGAGAGAAGGGAGAAGGGGAGGATTGGAAAGGGAGAAGGAGAGCTTGGGGGAATGGGATGGTTGAGATGGAGGAAGGGTGGATATGGGAGCAGGGAAGAAGATATCTTAATTAAGGGAGCCATTTTAGGGTTGACAAGAGAATTGGCTCTAGAGGAGTTCCCAGGTGTCCAAGGGGATGTCCCCAGCTAGGTCCTTGGGCAGCAGAGGAGAGGGTGCCTGAACTGGCCTTCTCCCATAGCCACACTGATGAATATCTTGCATATAACCATAGAACTTTCATTCGGCGATGGATGGAGATAGAGACAGAGACACACATTGGAGCACTGGACTTAGCTCCCAAGGTCCAAATGAGGAGCAGAAGGAGGGAGAACATGAGCAAGGAAGTCAGGACCGCGAGGGGTGCGTCCACTCACTTAGACAGGGTGACTGATCTAATGGGAGCTCACCAAGGCCAGCTGGACTGG